CCCGGCTATTTTTTTGGTTGCAGCTGCCATTGTTGTTTGGCGGGTCCGGGCTGGGGATTCGAACCGGCCACCTTAGGTGTACGTGGCTGGCGCCTTAGCCGGTTGAGCCATAGGCGCCGAGCCTGAAGACTCGATTTTTAAAAAATAAGTAAATAATAGAATGCAGGGAGCTTGATAAGTATTTTTCTCAGTGAAGTTTTAGAACTTTTTCCTTTATTAGATGTCCTCTGAAGCTCATTCTACATTTTAAGGAATTTCACTAACCTTACCATAAAGACTTTACTCCTCATGAGTTTTCTTTTTGGAAATATAGCTGCACACATATTTCATAGATTAAAAATTAGGATTCTTCATCTTACTTATGGTTGAGTTGTTTACTTAGAATGCTAATTTCAGAAAGCTAGAATATGTACAGTATATATCTCCAGAATGACTAGTTTATTTTTTCAAGAACAGAACCTATAGTAACTTAAATCTAAGACATTTACTTGTCTTGCCTTTAAATTTTCAATCTTTAGACAATATTTTATTTTCTTTAGGCCCATAGACCTCTCCTGCATTGGATTTTTAAATGACATGCTTCCTTAAGTAACTAGTTCTCCATTTCCTCATAACCACAGTGAGACTCACCAGCAGTCCCTCACGCAGACTTTAAAGGCAATCCTTTGGTTTGCAGCTGGACCCACTTCACTGTGCCACTGGTGACCTGTTTTCATTCATTCAGCAAGCATTGATCAAAAGATTGCCATCTAAAATGTCAGATCTGAGCTTGGCTGTGGGGAGACAGATGAATAAGAACAGCTACTCTGCTCAGCGGCTCTTGGGGATTTCCCTCTGTGGACTGTGTAGAACCAGGGCACACACAGACACAATGTGGCTAAAGAGGCGTGTTTGAAGTGACCTCTGTGGGAGCATAACAGAGTGACAAGTGTTCCAGGTAGAAGCCAGAAGATGAAGGGAATGAACTTAAGAGGGGCAGCTGAGCTGGGTGTTACAGGTTGGTGATGTGTCTACAGGTGTGAAGGGATGGGTTGGAGGCTGGCAGGCCATTACATTGGCAGGTACTTAGGCTGAGCAGGAGCTTCGGTGTTACAGCAACACAATAGCTACAGGATGTCAGGAGGAGGGCTGGAAGGGTGTTTAGTTACTGAAGGAGGAGGAAATGGCAGGTTCCAGAACCCTGGTGGAGAGGGATGCGGGAGGCACATTGGTAGCAGCTACCAGTGGTGCCTAAGCCCTGAGAGCACAGAGGAAGGAGGTGGAGTGCCCGTTGGTGGGTATTTTTACTTCAACCAATGGTGAGACTCTGAGCTGGGTATTCAGTCAACCTGGGTAACTCCTCAGTTAAGACATTTTACCAGCAGTTCCATCTGCTCACAACACAACACAAATCAGAAGAGGTTTCTGGATATCCCCCAACTGCTGAGCCTTAATGGAGTAGTGCAATGGAGTCTTTGGCCCTCACTCTCCTTATTTTCTTTAAAATAGCAAATGGGAAAGGGAGGAAAGTTGGAGATAAATTGTAATTGACAGACACCCCATCTATAAAGAAGGAGCCAAAACTGATTTTTTTTTTTTTTAAAAGTCAAAATATAGTCTGCAGCCCTCTGTTATTCAGAAGCCTTGTTCATCTCTGAAACCCTCGTGCCTTACTGTGAAACAGTTCATGGCTATGGCCTAAATTAACAGCAGACAACCAGACTGGTTTACATCTTCTGCCCAGGGGCAGGGAAGTGTAAGAAAGCTTCCCTCTGTCAAATAGTTTAAAAGGTAGCATTGCTTGTATCAAGGGGGGAAATGATTTTAGAATAAAAAACACGTAGGTCTGAGAAAGCTGCTTGTTGAGAAGTAATTCATCTTTTCAGGCTGGATAAAGGAGACATTGATGTGCTCTTTGCTAAGTTCACCATATAAAGTACAGAGTGTCTTGTATGGATTGTAAGCCAGACGATAGATAAGTTGGTTATGTTACTTAGAAAAGGTATTTTCTTCTGTTGTAATTCTCAAGGGAGAGCCAGAAGATGGACAGGACATGCCTGCTCCAGAATCTCCCAGTGGCAGGGTTCTGGCTGCAAATTTGAGTCTGACTTTGCCAGAGGATGAGAGAAGTGACGGGAGCAGTCCGCCCTCAGCTCCCCCTGCTGAATGTGAGCTGCCCTGTGATGCCAGCTTGAAAGGAGATGCGGGGGAAAACACAGTGCTGCTCGGTAAGATGCCTGTAGATTCTAAAACCAGGGAATGTTGTCAGAAGTTGAAGGAAATTGAGAAATACATAAAATGTGGGCAAACATAAAGGCGAAAAAATGTCACACCTAGAGATACCATTTTAATGGTACTTTGATAATATCTTTCTAGAGAATGGAGGACCATCACTTAAGTTGGTTAACCTTATTTTACTTAATATATGAAACTTTCTGTCTCAATAGATAATTTTTATGGCTATATAGTATTACATTTTGTTTTGCAGAGACAGAGTCTCACTTTATCACCCTTGGTAGAGTGCCGTGGCATCACACAGCTCACAGCAACCTCCAACTCCTGGGCTTAAGCGATTCTTTTGCCTCAGCCTCCCAAGTAGCTGGGACTACAGGCATCCGCCACAACGCCTGGCTATTTTTTGGTTGCAATTCAGCCAGGGCCGGGTTTGAACCCGCCACCCTTGGGATATGGAGCCGGTGCCTTACTCACTGAGCCATAGGCGCTGCCCTAGTATATT